TGATGTATGTATGGACTGTGATTAGAGTTGTATGAGCCCCTAATAAAATGATTAAAAAAATAAAATAAGAAACTACCAAAAAAAAAAAAAATCACCGAATCAGGTCTGATAGTAATTTATATTTATAAAGCCTTGGAAGACCAACAAATGTCTAGTTATAATTATTAATCTAGTCTCAAAAATACCGTCAGGATTATGTCATATTTAAAATCCCTTTGCTTTTCCATTTCAAAAGAGATTAGGCATCTGGGTTTCTAAAAAGTCAAAGCAAAGTTCAGCAAAGTTCTATCCACCTTTAAGAAGGAATGTGGTAAGAATGTTCCAGTATTTTCTTATATAAGTGCAATGTAAGTAATAAGCATTTCTAGAAAAGTCAGCTATTATATGAATAGAGGCTAAGTAGCTGTGTTTTATAGCCACTATCTTCAGAAGAAGACATTGGGGCATCCACAGAGTACTAAACTTAAATATTAAGTCCTCAAGATTAATATTGGCTAACTATACAATGAAATTTTCACATTTCTAATTAAACAGGTAGTTGTGCCTGTTGTTATTATTGTTCCTAATCCCAAAGCTTTTATTGTTTTATATACAAACTTTTCTACCGTGCTCATAAATTCTGAATTTAGACAAGACTCAAGGAAAGTTGTGTCCTTTCTAGGAATGGCTGGTCTTAAGAAATTTTACTCTTCCCTTTAGTTATGTCCTTTTAATTAATTGAGTGTAGAGTTACTGGGAACCCTGGTGTTGTAATGGTTAAGTATTAGACTGCTAACCACAAGATCAGCAATTTGAAATCACTAGCTGCTCTTTGGGAAAAAGACAAAGCTTTCTACTCTTTTAAAAAATTATTTATTTACTTTTTGCTTTCTACTCTTATAAAGAGTATAGCTTCAAAAAAAAAGGACAGCTTCGGAAACCCACAGGTTCTACCTTGTCCTTCAGGAACCCTGAGTCAGAATCGACTCATGGCAGTGAGGAGCCCTGGTGATGTGGTGGTGATGTGTTAGGCTGCAATCCGCATGGTCAGAAGTTTGAGACCAGCAGCAGCTCTGAAGGAGGAAGACTGGACTTTTTACTCCCATAAACAGTCACAGTCTAGTCGGAAACCCACAGGGGGTTGCTCTTGAGTCGGAACTGGCTCAATGGTACCTAATAACCACAGCGATTTTGACCTATGGTAGAAGCCAATTTTTAAAAAGCTTTTGTTTTTCAATATTAATGCTTCCCCTAAGTTATAAAAACAATAATTTGGAGGCAATAGAGCTGCGTGCAGTGTACGAAAGCACACATTTAGATATCAGATAGACCTACCTACGTTCCACTTCCAGTTCCGTCATTTGCTCGCTATGAGCCTTTGGATACATTTACTGTCTATTCTAAGCCTTAGTTTCTTCAGGATGTTAATAATAGTATTTTCCTCATCACTTCTGACCAACTGCCTTCCCCTCTCCCCTACTCCCCTTATTGGTTCTGAGGGGTTTATCTGTCCTGGATTCTCTATGTTGTGAGCTCTTATCTGTACCAGTGTACATGTTCTGGTCTGGCCAGATTTGTAAGGTAGAATTGGGGTCATGATAGGCAGAGCAGGGGGCGGGGGGCGTTTTAAAGAACTAGAAGAAAGTTGTATGCTTCATCAGTGCTATGCTGCACCCTGACTGGCTCATCTCTTCCTTGTGGCCCTTCTGACAGGGGGTGTCCAATTGACTACTGATGGGTTTGGGGTCTCCACTCTGCCCTCCCCCTTGACCAACTGCCTTTAAAGCACTTAGCTCAGTACATGGAACAGAAGAGAAACTCAAATGTTAGTTATTAACACTTAATAATACTCTGGTGCTAAGGCACATGTTCACAAAAATGAATTGGAATTGCAGAGTACAGAAACTACATGTCCCTCTAAAATGGCACAGACTTGTTCAAACCAGTGATTTATAGAAGAGATGCCCAATTACCTGTGGGTGCTACTAGATGTGGGCTTTTCCCCCTCTGTTATCAGTTCTAAAAAAATTAAACAATTCCAAAGAAGGGCACTTCTTAGACTCTTGTCTCAAATACTTCCCTAGTGCTCATCTTGCCCCATTCCTATGCAGATTGGCAAGTGCCATGGCTCAACAGGTGGCTTACGTTATTTTTAGGTATTTACATCACAGGTTTAAATAAAACCTTGTTTTAAACCAAACATCGACTCAGTTCTTGGCAGACTTTTATCTATTCCTAACTATATAAACACCTGCATTTAAAAAGAAAAGTTCATCTGACCCTTTTATTCTCTTTCTTGTTGACCACTGCTAAGGTCGGATCACTTCTACATCCCCATTCAACCACACATACCTGTAAATAAAGTGAAGAATTAGAGCCATGGGACATCTTTTGCACCATCCCATCTTTTTGTAGGATGCATTCCTCCAAGTGAATCACATTTGGATGTTGACTTTGGATACTGCTTAGTGCCCAGAACTCACGAAGAGCTAGTTCAACGTTTTCAGGTGCGTGGCATCGAATTTTCTTCACTGCTACGCGTGCAGAGGTTTTCCTGATGACTGCTTCATACACAACACCGTAGCTACCTCGGCCTACCTCCCGTATTAAATCGTACTTTGGCTGGCTACTCACCATCTTCAAGGTCGAGGTTTCTAGAAAAATCAACAAAGCGCTCTGTTGAAATTAGGAATGACTTCTGGCTTTCAATTGTTCTAAGGCATGCTTTAGTTATCAT